GTCTTGTTATATCAACAGCACAATTAGCGGCAGCAGCCCCGCCCTCTTTCTTACCCTCAGACTCTGTAAACAACAAACAACAACAATAAACAACAACATTATCATGTGATATGTTCACTTACTCTCTCCTCCAGGGTATGCCATGTCCCTTAGTTTCTTCAGTGAGGGGTCACTGTTAAATTTAGCTCTAATGGGGTCCAGTAACTACAAATGGACATGCAATTAACACGTACATGTATGACAGAGTCTGGTATAATATTAATTAATAATGTTGTTATGACATGTAAATGTGAATAGAAACTTAGTTTAAGAGCTCAGGAATTTAATCATTAATTAATTACTTTATTTAACTCTTCAGCGACTGCATTTTTAAGATCAAGCGGATACACTTCTTCTTTGGCATAAGCTTCTTCCAATTCTTTATAGTTCATGAAACTAACGTCACCTCCATGTTTCTCTTCTCTCTTTATTATAGTGGTGGGCGATATATTGATATTTTATCGATACAAACGATATTTTACGGTATCGAATTGTATCGGTATCGAAATTTCAAAGGAATCTGGATCGATACGTTGACCACGCCCATTTATTGAGGTTAAATAATATTAATAACGAAAAATTTAATAAGTTAATGACGTATAATACACACACGTGGATACACGTGCATGAAAACATCGATGAAAACAGTCAATAATAAGAGGTGTGACTCCATAGGTGTGGTCTAAATATCGTATCGAAACTGTATCGATACTTCCGATATGAGCTGATATCGATCGGTATCGTATCGAATCCATTTTGGCCAGTATCGCCCACCACTACTTTATTACAAATGCTACAGGAACACCAAGACAGCAGATGTAAGTACATGTGCTATTACTAATGATAATACTGCTCCTGACTATAGTTTATATTTAAAGTTTAAGACAGGGTTAAGTTAACCCATTCAAAAATTTTGTGAAACAAAAAACTATCAGATTCATTTTACCTGAAAATCTCCTCTCATTTTATATTCAGTTATTTGTAAAAGGCTATCGTGGGTCGTCCTCTCTATCTTTATTGTGGTTAACAGTTGACACTACTTTTAATTAACTTTAATTAACTGTTACTACTACATGATTGTCCACTATCTCCAGCCCCTTGCTTTTAGTGTTTCAATTGTTTAATTGTTTATATTAAGAGAGTCAAACAGGCCAGGTTATGCTGACCCATTCAAGGGGATTGTAAATTATAAAACAAAGTGTTGTAGGTTAGACTGTACCTCGTCCACTGATGATGGGGAATATTAGTATAGAATTATTAGTATAGAATTTATAACTATTAATAACTATTAATTAACCTGCTCAGTTGGTAGTAAT